AAGGACGGAAAGAGGAAAAAGAATGAACAAATGAATGAACGAAAGAAAGGAAGAACGAACGAAGGGTAGAACGAACGAACGAACGAACGAATGAATGAATTAATGATTAATAATTAATTAATAGATTAGATGAATTCACTAAAGAGTGAATGCATAAATAAATTTAATTAAAAAAATAAAGAACATAGGAACGAATGAACAAATGGATGAAGAAGAAGAAGATGATGATTAAATTATTGATGACGTATGTAATTAGTGAAAATTGAAAAATTTTCTTTTGGCTATCTTTTGTATGTATGTATGTATGTATGTATGTATGTATGTATGTATGTATGTATGTATGTATGTATGTATGTATGTATGTATGTATGTATGTGTGTATGTATGTATGTATGTATGTATGTATGTATGTATGTATGTATGTATGTATGTATGTACAAAATCATAAAATCATTACAAACATACAAAATCTAGTTTGTATGTGTAAGTTATGATGATGATGTTTACGATGTTGATGATGATGATGATGGTGATTGTTACGACGATGATGATGATGATGGTGAAGAGGAAAATGATGATGATGATGATGATGATGATGATGATGATGATGACGCTGGCACTGAAGATGATGTTTGACGATGAATTAATTAGCAGCGTGGAGGTGCAAATTTAATACAGGTGATCTATTTACCTGTGTATAATGTGTATGTATGTATATTTGTATGTATGCATGTATGTATGTATGTTTGTATGTATGTTTGTATGTATGTTTGTATGTATGTTCGTATGTATGTATGTTTGTATGTATGTATTAATAAATGTATGACGGATGTGTGCCTACAAACACAAGAAAATTTCATTAGGATCAGGTGTATTTATAAGTGATGGCTGGTGGATGATGTGATGTTTGGTACTCTATGTATGTATGTTTGTATGCATGTTTGTATGTATGTTTGTATGTACGTTCATACCTTTGTATGTATGTTTGTATGTATGCTCATACCTTTGTATGTATGTTTGTATGTGTGCATGTTTGTGTGTGTGTATGTGGCTCTGAATGAATGATTTTCAAAATCGCTTCTAGTTTAATGCATGAACGAAAATAAAGGAGAAACTTGAAAAACTGCAAATCAAATAGAAGATAAATATTTCTTTAAATTTTTATTGAACGTGTCGACTGACAGTCCCTTAGGTCCCCTCTAGGACCCAGGCGGTGCATTCGAAACTCACCAGACACAGAGTGAATCAACAGCAGGTGTCAGTGCAGCCTCATCCAGCGTTGGATTTGAAGGATCACTTATCGAGTTGATGGGTCTAAAAACTGTTGAGCTGAAATCTCTTTTTGTAATAATTCTCAATTTTCTGTTGGAAATTTTTAAAATCTTTTCGGAGGTCGTCATCATCGTCACATTTGCAGATGAGTTCGTTAGCCATGCTGCACGTATTCTTAGAACTGTCAATGTTCTCCTTTAATAATCTGCTCCAAAATTTCTGGCTTTTTCTAGCCAAACATTAACATTTGCTTCTCAAAGGGTTGGGCTATACTATGCAAGTCATCTATACTAAGTCATCTATTCATATTTTCATTCAAATTTTCAGAAATATGGTTTATATTCTGCAAATTCTTCGTTAAACCATGGCTCCGAAACCTCGCATTTGAAATTTGGTGCAACTTCATCCACCTTTCTTCAAATTGCATTTTGAATAACTCCAATTTTTTTTTAGTATCACTGCACTAGTGTGGCTTCGACAAATCTGAATTAGCAATCCCTTCAACAAGTTTCATCTCGTTCTACAGTTTTCACGGCATAACCAACTTCTTTTCATTCGCAGATTCAATTCTTGCGGCTGTTTTGGTTAGACGCGTCAAGCCATCTAAAACATGTCGAAAATTTCAGACTAGTGGGAGTAAGCATAATTGTTCATTTTAAAGTGTGCTCGCCTTTGCTTGTTTGAATGATTGCTCGTTGGTTTGTTTGTATATATTTATGTATTTCTCAATGTTTCTATTATTAATGAGACATAAACAACAAAAATGGGTTTATTCGTAAGGAGCAAAATAGGTTTGCACGCCAAGTTATATATTATTTATATTGTATGTATGTATGTATGTATGTATGTATGTATGTATGTATGTATGTATGTATGTATGTATGTATGTATGTGTGTATGTATGTATGTATGTATGTGTGTATGTATGTATGTATGTATGTATGTATGTATGTATGTATGTATGTATGTATGTATGTATGTATGTATGTATGTATGTATATTTTATGTTAGGCTGTGGTTGTGTTGTACAGAGATAGAAAGATGTTGCGTGACTAAAACAAGCTGTTATTTATGCGTTACATGTGTGTATGTTTGTGTGTGTGTTTGTTTGTGTGTATGTTTGTTTGTATGTGTGTTCTATTATGTTTGTTTGTTTGTTTGTATGTGTTTTTTATGTTTGTTTGTATGTTTGTTTGTATGTGTATGTATATGTCTAAATAATACAATC